AGAGAGCAGGGCTCTTACTCATAGCCTGCAAAGATTGATGAATCCCAAGATCAGCAGAAAGACTGCAGGTAAGCTGCTAGCTCAAGTCCTGAGAATGGCAGGTCAGATGAACAGAAGCCAGCTGCAGGATCCAGAGTGAGCAAAAAGCCCCTGAGCTTTGCCAGAATGTCCAAGGCTTATATTTGATGCAGGCCACACCCTCAAGGAAGCTCCCTTTCAACTGACTGGCTACTCACAGCAGATCCCATCATGGGGGTGATCACATATCAAATCTCAACAGGGAAGTGATCACAACATTATACAACTGCCAAACAATTGAGAATCATGGCCCAGCCAAGGTGACACACAATCTTAACCATCACAGGGGTGTCACGAACTGTGGCCATATAAGACAGTGAACTTAATCGATAAATGTTGTGTGTTTTCTGACTGCTTCACTGATCAGCCATTCCCCCGTCTCTCTCCCTCTCCCTCTCCTCAGGCCTCCCTATTTCCTGAGACACAACAATATTGAAATTAGGCCAGTTGATAACCCTACAATGGCCTCTAAGTGTTCAAGTGAAAGAAAGAGTCTCATGTCTCTCACTTTAAATCAAAAGCTAGAAAAGATTAAGCTTAGTGAGGAAGGCATGTTGAAAGTGGAGATAGGCTGAAAGCTAGGCCTCTTGTGCCAAACAGTTAGCCAGGTTGTGAATGCAAAGGAAAAGTTCTTGGAGGAAGTTAAAAGTGCTGCTCCAGAGAACACAGAAATGATAAGAAAGAAAAACAGCCTTATTGCTGATATGGAGAAAGTTTTAGTGGTCTGCGTAGAAGATCAAATCAGCCATAACATTCCCTTAAGCCAAAACTAATCCAGGGCAAGGCCCTAACTCTCTTCAATTCTGTGAAGGATGAGAGAGGTGAGGAAGCTGCAGGAGAAAAGTCTGAAGCTAGCAGAGGTTGGTTCATGAGGCTTAAGGAAAGAAGCCACCTCTGTAACGTGTAAGTGCAAGGTGAAGCAGTAAGTGTTGATGTAGAAGCTGCAGCAAGTAATCCGAAACATCTACCTAAGATAATTGATGAAGGTGGCTATACTAAACAACAGATTTTCAATGTAGATGAAACAGCCTTATATTGGAAGAAGATGCCATCTAGGACTTTCATAGCTAGAGAGGAGAAGTCAATGCCTGGCTTCAGAGCTTCAAAATACACGCTGATTCTCTTGTTAGGAGCTAACGAAGGTGGTGACTTTAAGATGAAGCCATTCCGAAAATCCTAGGGCCCTTAAGAATTATGCTAAATCTACTCTGCCTGTGTTCTATAAATGCAACAACAAAGCCGGAATGACAGCATGTCTGTTTACAACATGGTTTACTGAATATTTTAAACCCACTGTTGAAATCTATTGCTGAGAAAAAAAGATTCCTTTCAATATATTACTGCTCATTGACAATGCACCTCGTCACCCAAGAGCTCTGATGGAGATATACAAGGAGACTAATGTTGTTTTCATGCCTGCTAACACAACATCCATTCTGCAGCCCATGGATCAAGGAGTAATTTTGACTTTCAAGTCTTATTACTTAAGAAATACATTTTAAGTTTATAGCTGCCATAGTGATTCCTCTGATGGATCTGGGTAAAGTAAATCGAAAACCTTCTGGAAAGGATTCACCATTCTAGATGCCATAAAGAACGTTCGTGATACATGGAAGGAGATCAAAATATCAACATTAACAGGAGTTTGGAAGAAGTTGATTCCAACCTTCATGGACGACTTTGAAGGCTTGAAGACTTCAGTGGAGGAAGTAACTGCAGATGTGGTGGAAATAGCAAGAGAACTAGAATTAGAAGTGGAGCCTGAAGATGTGACTGAATTGCTGCAATGTCATGATAAAACTTTAACAGATGAAGAGTTGCTTCTTATGGATGAGCAAATAAAGTGGTTTCTTAAGATGGAATCTACTTCTGGTGAAGATGCTGTGAACATTGTTGAAATGACAACAAAGGATTTAGAAAATTACATAAACTTAGTTGATAAAGCAGCAGCAGAGTTTGAGAGGATTAACTCCAGTTTTGAAAGAAGTTCTACTGTGGGTAAAATGCTATCAAATAGCATTGCATGCTACAGAGGAATCTTTCATGAAAGGAAGTGTCAATTGATGTGACAAACTTCATTGTTGTCTTATTTTAAGAAATTTCCACAGCCACCCCAACTTTCAACAACCACCACCCTGATCAGTCAGCAGCCATCAACTTTGAGGCAAGACCCTCCACCAGCAAAAATATTATGACTCGCTGAAGGCTCAGATGATTGTTAGCATTATTTAGCAATAAATATTTTAAAATTAAGATATGGACTTTTTTTGAGACATAATACTATTGCACGCTTAATAGACTACAGTATAGTGTAAACATAACTTTTATATGCACTGGGAAACCAAAACAGTCATGTGATTCACTTTATTGTGGTGGTCTGGAACTGAACCCGCAGTATCTCCGAAGTATGCCCATAATTGTCGGTGAATTCTGAATAATTCCATGGGCTTCCCTTTCTAAGAAGGACTGGGGCCTGCTGAGTAATTACCGAGTATGGAGGTTTTCTTTTTAGGGTGACTGGAATTTAGAATTCACAAACTAAAAATAGGCCATTACTTGCATTCCCTAAGATCTCAAATTAAATATTTGCCTAATAAATCTCATGTCCATGCAACCTTGCAAAATCCCCATTGTATACACATCCACAGGGCTAGTTGGAATTCTAGCTCTTTTCAGTGCACTAACAATGTCTTGGGTTGGCTGTGGTCTTCAATTATTACTAAAACCCAAAAAACCCATTGCCATCAAGTGAATTCGGACTCATAGTGACCCTACAGGACAGAGTAGAACTACCCCATAGAGTTTCCAAGGTGCACCTGGTGGATTAGAACTGCTGATCTTTTGGTTAGCAGCCATAGCTCTTAACCACTATGCCACCAGGGTTTCCTCAATTACTACTAGTCTTTAAAAACTTTGTATTACATGAACTTTCAAATATGTACAAAGTAAGCAGAGTAGTATAATGAATTCCCATGTATCCATCACCCAACATAAAAATTAATTTAAAAAATCCTGCCATTCTTGTTTCATCTGTACCTCTACCCACTCCCCACCCCCTACTCAATTATCGTTTTTTATAGTTCCTTTTTTATAAGATAAAATTTACACTCATTGAAATGCACAAATTTTATCTGTGTAATTTTGACAAATGGATACATCTGTGGAACCCACACCCCTATCATAATATAGAATATTTCTGTCTCCTGAGAAAGTTCCTTTGTATCTCTTCCAAGTCAATCTTCTCCAACCCCCAGGCAACCTCTGTTCTGATGTTTTTCACCTTAGATTTATTTTGACTGTTCCAGAACATCCTATAAAGGGAACCCTATAGTGTGTACTCTTTGTGTCTGGCTCCTTTCGTGTAGCATTATGTCTGTGAGCTTCATGCATGTTGTTGCCTGTGTCGGTAGTTCGTTCTGTTTTATTGCCGAATAGTATTGGGTTATATGATTATACCACAGTTTGCTTATCCATCACCTGTTGATGGACATTTGGACTGTTTCAGTTTTTGGCTGTTAGAAATAAACCCTCTTGTGCAAGTCTTTGTGTGGATATACGCTTTCATGTCTCTTGGGTATATACCTAGAAGTGGAACAGCTGGATCATATCATAGGTGTATGTTTAATTTTTAAAGAAACTTCCAACTGTCTTCCAAAGTGGTTTCACCATTTTTGCATTCCCATCAGCAGTGCATGAAAGTTCCAGTTGCTTCACATCCTCGTCAACATTTGGTACTGTCAATCTTTGTGATTTTAATTGCTCCTCTTTCAAAGTTAGCTAATATATGCATTGAGTTTCCAGGAGGTTTTGCTCTTATTGACAGTCTGGTGTTGGGTAGTTGCTCTGTGGTCCATTTTGATTATTTGTCTCTTTGTTTCTTTGTCTTCCTAGAATTCTTTTCCCACCGAGAGTAAAGGGTGAGTGAGATGGTAGAGGGGAGGCTGTAAGGGAGCCTTGGTCACAACAAGTTGGGAACTGCTGTTCTGAGAGAGGCACTGAAGGTTTACCCCTCTGGCCTCATCTCCGGACTCCCCTCAAACTTGAGGCCCTGGTTTGGAGCAGGACAGGAGACTGACTGGTCTGCACTTCCTTTGCAGGCAAGGTCCTTGGAAGGGCAGCCCTGGAAGCTGCTCTCTTATCTCTTCTTTTGTGGGAGTTTCTGAGGCCCAGGCCTCAGCTCCTCTCTCCTCCGATCGCAAATAATGTAACTGCTGTCCTGGCCCACTGGGGCTCTGTATCTGGGAGTCCCAGCCCACCTGGCTTTGCCCTCTCTTCCCCACAGATATTGGCCCAGTGACCCTCACGGCAGATCCAGTGGTGTTTCAGAGGGAGCTGAGAGAACTCTACGTGCAGGTGGGCTAACCCCTCCCCTGACTGCTGGCTATGCCATTTTCCAAGGCTGCTTGTCTTCTGTGCTGTCCTTCCTAGCCCACACCAAAGAAGAAGGTTTTTGCCCCTCCCGGAGGCCAAGATGGCGGCTTCCTCCACCTGTCATGACCTGCCTCCCAGCTCTGCCCAGCTTGGGAGTCTTGGCGATTCTGTACTTGGTGGAGTTCCTTCCTTCATTCAGTGAACCAAGCACCTACAGCAGCACCTGTGCCTAGCACATAGTAGGTGCTTTTTTATGTAGCGAATGAACGATGAAGGCGAAAGGGGGAGAGGCATTAATGCCCAGTTTAGAGTGTGTGTGGTGGCTGTGGGAGGATCTGAGATGGGTCAGTTCAGCCCCCACGACCAGACCCAAGACTGAGTCAGCTGCCCCGTGGCCACCTGTGCTGCTTTGCCACACTGAGTGCCCTGGTTCAGTGTCGGTGCCTCCCTCCCCGGCTCCCACTGAGACCATGAGCTTCCTGGAGGCAGGGACAACACATATCAGTCTGGTTCACTGTTGGATCCCCTGGGGCCTAGGACAGGGCTGGAAACATGCAGGGGGCACAGTAAGTCATTGTGGGGTGAATGAGTGAACCAAGGAAAGAACGTTTGCTGAGAAATGGCCTTGTCAAATCCTGCTGCTGGGGATACAACCCTGGGCAAGACGAAGAGGTGCTCCCTTCTCACAGAGAGCTCTCACCAGGTGGGCAGGGAGGGGAGAGTGTGTATTTATTTGGAATTAGTACCAGGGCAGGCTACAAGATTTGTGAAGGTGACTTTGAATGCTTTCGTCTCCCCCAGTGCCCACTTCTCCCCTCTCCTGGCTGACCCCTCCAATCTTTCAAGCCTTGGCTTACATATGGCTTCTTTGGGCGCTTTCTTCGATGTTCTCATGGCTCCCTATCCCCGCCCACACCCTCCCCCACCGTAGCACTCATCACAATGGTAATTAAATAATCATGCGTGCTTAATTATTGATGTCATGTCTGCCTCCTGTACTAGATTCCAGGAGGTGGGGAGCATGTCACTCTTGTGTGGATAGATGGATGAATGATGCTGCTTGTCCTAAGTCAAAGTTGGCTGGATGCTACATTGTGTTTCAGGGGAAGGAGTGGCTGGGGCTGTGGCCTGGCCCGTGGCTGGGGCTCCCTAACTCCTGATGGCTTAGGAGGTCCCAAACTAGAGGAGGTGGGCAGCAGCTGCCAACGTTCTCCTGTCCTACAGGGAGGTGGTGACTGCCCAGAAATGAGCGTGGGGGCCATCAAAGCTGCTGTGGAGGTCGTCAACCTAGGCTCTTTCATCTATGTCTTCTCTGATGCCCGCGCCAAGGACTATCACAAGAAGGAAGAGGTGCTACGTCTCCTGCAGCTTAAACAATCGCAGGTGAGCCACCTGGTCTTGGAGGGCTGGCATTGGGGGCCCTCAAGAGGGTCTCAAGGAAGCAAGGTCTCCCATTTGGGCAGCCCTGAGCCCTCACCTGGAGGCAGGGGGCTGGGTGCTTTTCTTCGACAACCACGGCCAGTGAGCCACGCGAACGAACCAAGCAGGTCTGGTGAATTCCAAGTGTGTTCTCATCCTCCGGGCCCTCTGCCCGGAAGCCAAGCTTACAGCCTCTCTGGCGAGGGATACTCTTGATAAAGACCACACCACCCTTCTCCTTTTACACCCTGTCAAAGTCAGCGCAATCCATCTTCCTCCTGGCGTGACCTCTGTTCGTTGTCTCTGCAGCTCATGTCACCTTGTTCCCGTGGTCTCAGGGTTTGGAAGATGTGTCAGGGTCTTCTGGTTTTTGCTTTCTGCTTTCCAGTGAGGGCTGGGGGAAGGGATGCAAGCAGGGAAAGGGAGAAGGACTGGCCCCTGTGACTTCCTAGGGTGAAGACCTTGAGGGCTGGGGTAGCTTCTCTGCTCCTGCGTCTACAGCAAACTGGAGTTCTCCGGGGTTCTTCTAACTCTGCAGCCTCTAGGGGCCACTCAGAGATGAGCTGGTTTCTATTCTCTTCCTTGTCATAGATTTAATAACAGCTCCCATTTATTGAGCACCTACTGTCATCCTGGATTTGTGCTGAGCACTTGACCTGCATTAGCTCCTGATCCCCATGAGATGGGTACTATTAATATTTCCATTTTATAGATGGGTCACCTGAGCCCAGAGAGAGGAAATGGCTCTGCCAGGTCACTCCTCCCTGGCTCAGACCCTGCCACTGACACCTGAAATAGGTGGCTGGGAAAGCTGTGAGTCAGGTTGCACGTCTTTCTTCCAGGTGGTCTTTGTGCTGACGGGAGACTGTGGTGACCGTACTCATCCTGGCTACCTGGCCTTCGAGGAGATTGCTGCCGCCAGCTCTGGGCAGGTGTTCCACTTGGACAAGCACCAAGTGACTGAGGTGAGCCAGGGAGGGAGCGTCTTCCCCTGACCTCCTCAGCCTGTTTCCTGGGGCTGGTGAGGACACTGAGCATCTTGCATCTCTGAGTGGCTTTGCTTGATGATTGAGGAGAAATCATAGCTGACAGTGCTTAGTTTTTACCTGGAGGCAGGAGCGGGGTGTGCTGTGCTCAGGGGCTTTACAGCATCCTCTCACCCAACCCTCCCACCTACCCAAGGCAGGTACTATGGGTTTTCCTATTTTTCAGATAAAGAGGCTGAGGGTCAAAGAAGCAACCTGGGTTTTGGCTTGGGTGCCTCAGCTGATCCAGCCTGGTGGGAAGGAACTAGCAAAGTCTGGCAGAAGTGTGGGTGTGGGGTTCCTTCTGAGCTTCCTTTAGAGTCAGGGAACTCAAGGGTGGGAGGAGGAGTGTCGCCAGAGGGGTGGGGAGGGGTCACTGGATTCTGGCTTTGTTGCTGGCACAGAAAATCCTGCTTGGGGGTTTGGTGGGTTGGAGCTGGCTCAGCTCTGTGGCCTGAGGTGCAGGGCTGCTGATGGTCTAGATTCACTCAGAGTCTGGTGCTAACCAGGTGTCTGCATTCTGGTCTTGCTCCTGGACCACATGCCTGCTCTTCCTCCCCTCCCGCTCCCTCTGCCTTCTCAGGGATCTCCCTACATTCTCTTTCCCTCACACTTCCATTCCTTCCCAGAAGCCAGAGGAATTCTTCCAGTGACATATGGATAAATGTTTAACAACTATCTTTCTGGAAAGAACAAAGATGCCCATTTTCATGGTGTAAATACTCCCGCCTTGGCCAATTGCAAGCTACCATCATGAAGTCACTGGATGAGGAGTTGGGAGGTGATGCTGACAATTGACTTCCATGAGCTGATGTGAGCTGGCTCCTGAATACCACTGGATCCTTCTAAAGCAAATCCAACCAAATCCTTTCCTGTTGAACCCTGTAGAATGCCCAGGCCCTGATCTGGACCTTCCTCCTCTCTCATCTCGTGTGTTCTCCTCCCCATCCACTACTGGCCTCTTTGCTTTTTCTTCAATGTCCATTACTCTTCCCCATCCCAGGGCCTTTGTTCATGACTAGTGTTTTTTCCAGTCCTCTTTTTCTGTCTCCTTCGCATCTTCCCAGTCTTAGCTGAAATGTCTCCTCTTGGGGGAGACCTTCCTTGATTTCCTGTCAAGATTAAATCTCCTTTCATATCTTCTCCAGCTCTCCGTGCTGCTTTATGTAATTTTACAATAATACAATTCTTTAATGTCACTAGGCTGTAGCTCCCCAAGGGCAGCACCATCGTGGGTCCTGCTGGCCACTGTGTCCCCAGCACCTAGCACAGCAACCAGTGTGTAGCAGGTGCTTGGTAAGTAGCTGGTGACTGGATGGACATGGGTCGCTCGAGCCTGGGGCCTGAAGAGGAAGGCGAGAAACAGTGGCTCTGAGGCAGCCTTGGCCTTGAGCCAGCCCTGTTGTCGCCTCCAGGCCAGGATTTCATGCGTTTTATATTTATGAACTCTGAGGATGGTCTCCAGGGCTGTGTTTAGATTAGCATGTCTTAACTCCCTGTTTACAGATGGCGTTTATGGTTCTCTGCAACACACTAGGCTTTATTTTTTGGCATGTCAGCCTACCCTGGCACTGAGCTGCCAAGTGAGGGTGGAAGCATTTTGCAGCAAGGGGTCTACCTGGTTCTTGCTTTTGGGGAGACTGATCTGGACAATTTGCACGGAAACTCAGTTCCTGCCAGGGCTAATCAGACGGAGGGGCAGCCAGGCAGGTCGGTGGAGGAAAGCTTGCGGAGGTGTAGGGCTGGAGCTCCTGGTCTCTCCCTGGATACAGGGAATCTGGGCCGAATCCACTGGCTCCTGGCTCTGCTGCCTGACCTGCTCTGAGAACCTGGCGGGGCAGCCTGTGCCTGACTCAATAGGGCTGCCGGTGACCAGGACTGGCTCCTCCGAGTAGGCGCCTGGATCCTTCTCCTTCCTGGACACGGAGCTCTGTCCTTCGTTAGCTTAATGCCTTGGACTGGACCTGGCTCCTTCCAGATGTTCTCAGACGTCCGGCAAGCCTGGGGAAAGTGGCTGGAGCAGCCAGGGCTGTGGGCATCCCCCCCAGGAGAGGTGAATGGTGCTTTCACTAGAGCCAAGGGGACTCCAGCTGAGAGAAGGACTCTTCAGAAGTTGCACAAGTCCTCAAACCAGGCATGTGCAGCTAGGCCTTTTACCTTTTCAAAATGTGTCCAGTGTGGTAGGAAGGGGTGGCATTAAAAAAAAAATATATATATATATATATAACAAAAGGTTTACTGTTTTAACCATTTTTAAGTACACAGTTCAGTGACATTAATTATGTTCACCATGTGCACCCATCTCCACTATCTATTTTCAAAAATTTTACATCACTCCAAACAGAAACTCAGTATCCGTTCAGCAGTATCTCCCATCTCCTCCTCCCCCAAACCCTTGGTAGCCACTAATAAGCGTTGGCCTCTATGTATTTGCCTATTCAAGATATTTCACATAAGTGGGATCATACAGTATTTGTCCTTTTGTGGAGCTGCACATATTGCATTATCTGTTCTGCTCATTTATTGAGCACCTGCTGTGTGCCAGGTGCAGCTAAAGGTGCTTAGCATGGAGGAGGTAATCGCTCAAGCTTAGTTCCCAATGATTTTGAGCATTTAGGTTTTTCCTGTAGTGGAGTTGGCCTCACTAGTACCAGGAGCCCCTTTCGGAGTTTCAGGGTAACTAAAAGAAGGTGAAGACCCCCTCCTTCCTGGAAGGAGGAATGTGGAGTTTTACCATCCTCAAACAGACGGAACTGTGGTGGAGGCGGGCAACGTGGCTCCTTGAGCCTGTCCCAAAGGCATGCAGTTTTGATCAAGACTTAGATAGGTCCAGGAGCCCCCTTGTCCCCATGTTGCATCCCGCAGGCTTCCCCCAGCTCGCACCCAGCTAGCTGTGTGGTCAGAAGGGCTGGAAAAACCTGATCATCCTGCAGCCTTCCCTGGGTCCTGAGAGGTCCTCTCTGTCTTCTTGTAAGGAGAGCTCTGGGCTTCTCGTTCTCCTCTGCATCCTCCCTCTTCCCCCCACCAACACACACACCGGCAAGGCCAGTTCTTGGGGCTTGGGGCCCTTCCCATGTCTAGCACCAAAAGGTACAGATACTGCAGATTGCCCAGATATTTCCTTTATCAACTGAGGGAAAGGTGAACACCTTCTAAGACAATAAGAGGGGCAGGGGAGCTTCTGACCAGGTGGTTCCAATTAACAGATAAGGAGGTGCAGGCCAGGGAGATGACTTCATTGTGGATCCCCCCCGACCCACCCCAGAGGGAGGCTGTGCTGTGGAGTGATTAAGGCTTGGACTCCAGGGTGAGATGTCTGGCTTCAAACCCCAGCTCTGCCACCTGCCTGCTGTGTGACCTTGAGCACAGTACTTTACCTCTCTGGGCTCAGTTTCCTTGTGTGCAAAGTTGGGTTAACAAGAGCCCTTACCTCCTAAGATGATGGTGAGGGATACTGAGGCATGGAGCTGGGCACCCAGGAAGCCTTTGGTGAGAGTCATTAATATTGCCGTAATTCCAGCCCTTTATGCTGTACGCTATGTGGGGCCCAGAATATGCCCCCAGTTCCATGGATGCCCCTGAAGAGTGGGAGCTCTCTCTAGAGAAGATTCTCAGAAAGGTAAAGCCTGGACGAGTGTGCAGGGGTTCGAGCTGGTGAAAGGCAGAGCCCCAGGCTGTGTTCTTTCTCTGACCCTCCACACCGATCTTCCTGACACAGGGCCCCCAAACCCCAACCCCTCAGTTTTATGATCTGTAGCCCTGTGGCCCATTTGGCCTCCTGACTCCCCCCTCTGCTTCTTCAGCAGCCATGGCTGTCAAGTGTCCTAGGAGGAGCCACAGGGGATGATTTATCTGCCGAGAACGGCAGAGTGGCAGCCATCTGGCCAGGACAACAGTGCCAGATTCTTTTGTTCCTTCCCCATCAGAGACAGAGAGATGAGCCCGAATGCATCGCTGATCCCAGATCCCCCTCACCCCGCTAACATCTGGAAGCCATTGCCTTCGGCAAATAAACATTGAACTTGCTTAACGAAGGCTCTCTGCTCAGAAAGCTCCCCAGATTCCTCTCTGGAGCCCCGGGGGCATCACAAGGTTCCGAAGGCCTTGCCCACAGGCCTGGGCCTACAGGGAGACTAGCTTTGCTGAGGACAAGAAGGTCAGCCCCCAACTCCCTAGTGGTGCTGTTCTTGCAGGGCAGGCCCACCTACTGGTCAGGTCATGGGCATTCTGTCTTGGGTCTCAGCTCTCTCCTTGGTTCAGTAGCCTGAACTCCTGGGCATCTTCCTTCCATTGGAACATCCTAGAACAAGCTTGCAGTGACAGTTGCAACACAGTAGCGGGTGTGACTTGTCTGGGTAATTGTTGACTGGTGCTGCCACCACCTTCTGTTAGCTTTGCTCAGTTACAATTTCCTTCTGGTCCCTGACAAACCCCAGCCCCAGGGGAAGAGGGCAGTGGTCATAGCTGCTTCTTTGCTGTCAGGGGAGTTGCCTCGCTTATTGGCTAGCTTCTATCTGCCTCTCCAGCTGGGATTCCTTCGCTGCTGCTTCTACCAGCCCTCCCCCACATGGAGAAAGTACCTTATCCCCATTCCTCAGCGAAGGCAGGTGGGACCTTTTCAGAAGAAACATTACTTAGAAAGCTAGGCAACACAAAAGAATGAAGTAGCTCCAAGTATAACAACAGATGACTTTTCAGAACACAGCATTCTTATCCTTTGATAGCTGAAGTCTAGCCACAAACTTTTAGATACATGTGTTCCAGTTCAGTCTGAATAAAAAATATTCTGAATCTTGAGAAATTCTTCCAATTCCCTTCTTTTCCCCTTCTCTCCCATGGAAGATCACATGGTAGGCAGAGCTGAAGGACTATGATTTAGAAGAATGGCAAATACGTAGCGTGTAAGACACCACTTTCTAATCCTACATCCATGGCAGACATTGCTAATCAATCACAAAACTTTTTCTGACTGAGGCTGAATGTGGCCTTGCATTTCTTCTAAAAACAGTACTCCAGGAAGCCATTCTCGCTTGGCTGGAGATGACCAGCAACAGGAAACGGTGTGTTTGCCTAGGTGTATATTAAAATCATGACATACTTGTTCTTTTTAAATGGGTTTTACTTTAAAAAAACGTACTATGAAAAATTTCAAAGATACAGAAAAGTAAAAAAGAATATACCTACTCACTAGATGATTGTTAATGATTGTTAATATTTTTTCTCTGCTTTCTTCATCTGTCTCTCTCTAACCTTTTTGCCGAATCATGACACCTGTCTTAGCTAGGCTGCTGTAACAAATACCACAAGTGGGTAGCTTTAAAGAACAGAAATTTATTTTTTCACAGTTTAGGAGGCTAGGAGTCCAAATTCAGTGTGTAGATCTAGAGGGAAGTCCTTCTTTGTTTATTTCAGCTTCTAGTAGCCCAAAATCCTTAGAGTTCCTGGACTTGTGGTATGTCTGTCTCCATTGACTGTCTTCCTCTTCCCCCATGTGTGTCTCTGCATGTATTCTGTGCTTTTTATAATTCAGAAGTGATTATGTTTAAGACTGACTTTATTCTGGTATGACCATTAACATAACAAAAGAAACCCCTATTTCCAAACAGGGCCATATTTACAGATTCAGGGGTTAGGATTTCAACACATACGTTTTGGGGGCACAATTCAATCCATAACAACATCTTATCCATAAACAATTCAGCATGGATCTTAAAAAAAAAACAAAAAACTCCAATGCAACCACAATATCATCTAATAAAATTAATAATTATTTTCTAGTATCATCTAATACTCAGCCCATATTCAAATTCCCGACTTGTCCTCAAAATGTCTTTTATAACATTTTTTGCCAAATCAGGATTTAATCAAGAACCTTGCATTTCATTTGGTTGTTATGTCTATAAAGTCCCTCAAAACTGGAGCTGTTCATATATATATATATATATATATATATATATATATTTTTTTTTTTCCATGACATGAACTTGTTGAAGAATGATGATTTGTACAATGTCCTATATTCCGTATTTATCTGATTGTTTCCTTATGGTGTCATTAACTTGTTCCTTTGTCCTCTATGTCTCCCCTAAACTGGGAGTTACATCTAAAGGGCTGATTGGATGAGGCTAACATTTTTGGCAGGAATATTTCATAGTTGGTGCTATGTGTACTTTCTATTGTCTGATTGTCCTACTATTCATGATGACAAGTTTCATTACTTAGGTTAAGGTGGTGACAGGGAGCCCTCTGCATTGTGAAGCCATGTTTTCCCCTTTATGACTCAAGTGGTCTATGGGGTAATTCTCTGGCTCCATGCGGACAGCCATCCCCCATCAGCCTTTCATCCAATGGTTTTAGCATCCACTGAGGATCCTTGCCTGAAACAACTATTTCATTAGGAACTACAAAATGATGATTTCCTAATCACATCATTCTTTCCATATTTATTAGCTGGCATTCTTCCATGATGAAGAGCTTTGGCTCATCAAAAGGGATGATTTGGTTTCTCTGAAGGGCAATCCCAATTGAAAAGGCAGGAATCACACTTAGTTCTTTCTTTGTAACTAAGACGTCACCTCCAATGGTGGCAAAGGAGGTTTTCTTGTTATGATTTGTTTAGTATTTTGCTTTCCCTTTTTGAGTATCCGACTATCCTTATGGACACATGAGAGTGGAGCACTGAAGGGGTGGAGTCTGAGGACCACCAAAGCCCTGGTGGCTCAGTGGTTAAGAGCTTGGCTGCTAACCAAAAGGTCAGCAATTCAAATCCACCAGCTGCTCCTTGGAAACCCTATGGGGCCGTTCTACTCTGTCCTATAGGGCTGCTATGAGTCGGAATAGACTTGACAGGGACAGGTTGTGTACACATGGATTACATAATCCAGTGTGTTTCAAAAATTGCAGTCATTATTCTTTTTTGGGCTCAAGTTGCCCCAAATTTAGCCAATGGGAGCTCCTTCAAGCTAGTTCCTGTGTCCTTTTGACATGACCCCATTAGTCTTTGAGTACTTCCTTGCTTTATGGACTATCCAGTTATCCCAGGCTTACCTTGAAAATTCCCTGTCCCATACCTGGAATCAGCCATTTCTCTAAGGAACTTCAGTTACTTTTAGTGGGGAATGGTATTTAAAAACCAAAATGTGAATACTAGAAGTGGTCATTAATATTGGGATATTGGGGTGTCATTGCTTCTGGGTATGTATGTATATGTATGTTGAAGTCTGTGGTAAGGATTTGGAGAAACTAAATAATTTTGTGCTCAGTGAGATACCATCTTAGACTAGTTCAAGTGTTGTTAACATGGGGTCATGGACTCACATGGTCTTGGACTCATGGGACATTTTTAAGGGAGTTTGAGAGCTGCCTAAAATCATACCTAAATGTGTGGTATGATATTCTAGGGAGAGGGCCCTTAGCTTTCATTTGATTCTCAAGGGGACCTGTCCAAAACATGTCAGATTTTAGACTGAATGAGTAATTATGGAAACCAAGGATTTAAGACTTCTCAGCATTGCAAAAATCAGTCCATTAGTTTCTCATCTTTTGTGAATCAGGAAGAGATTCTGCATAACTTTGAAGCAGATCCTCACTGTTCTGCTTAGAGAACATGGTGCCCTTGGGGGATGGGACGTATCTTAGACCCCTTGGTGGGTGAGCATGAACTACGGTCTGGGGAAGATTCCAGATCTCCAGGGTCCATCCATGTCCAGGAGGCATCAAGAAGGCTTCTTGGAGGAAGTGAGGGACATAGAAGTTGGCCAGGCAAAGAAGGTGGGAAGAGTCTTCTCAGCCCAGGGAACACCCTCTTGCTTCTTTCCTCCGAGCTGAGTCCTCTGGATGCCTCAATTCAAGTGTCAAAACTTCAAGCCCTCAGAAGCCAGGAGGGTAACAATGTGTGAGTGGGGCCTGTTGTAGGCAATGGGGAGTGGTATGGCCTTGGTTGCCCTGGAAAGCCTGCGCACAGCAATCAAACCTATGGGAAACTGGATTCTGCCTGCGACTGGCAGCCAGTTAAGGACCCCACCTTGGATGGGCCAGACACAAGTAAGAGATTATGGGTACCTGCTAGCATCAGCTTCTCCTACCTGTTTCCCCAGGTGCTGAAGTGGGTGGAGTCAGCGATCCAGGCCTCCAAGGTGCATCTGCTGTCCACAAACCATGAGGAGGAGGGCGAGCACACATGGAGGATCCCCTTCGACCCTAGCCTGAAGGAGGTCACTATCTCCTTGAGTGGGCCGGGGCCAGAGATCGAAGTCCGCGATCCGCTGGGTACGTGTTGCCCTTGGGTGGGCCTCCTCTTTGACCCTCAGGCTGAGCTGGGAGCTCAGGGTAGAAGAAAGAAAGAGAACCAGGGTGGCAGGGGGTTTGGACACAAGCTTTGGTAACAAGGCAGCCGGAGGGGGGGACCCTGAGAGGAGGGTAAAGAGGGTACCCTTGATGGGTCAGGAGGCAGGTAGGCAAGGAGCAGTCAAGTAACCAGAACTGAAATAATGACAGTCCCTGGAGTTTGAGGCTCACTACACATTTTCCACACGTTACCTTGTGAGCTGATCAGGGCAAGAACAAGTAGCACATTTTCACACGGGAAGCTGGGGCTCTGAGAGGGCAAGTGGCTTGTCAAGGCCACACAGACTGGCGGTGTCAGTGTGATTTGGACCAGTTACCTGACCCCACAAAGCTCTGAGGATGCCAAGAATATCTAGGTCTAGAAGCCAGGTGTACAGCCAGCACCTGGGGAGTGATGAGAGTGGAGCATTGAAGGGGGTGGAGTCTGAGGACCACCAAAGGCCAAAGGCCGTCACGTCAGTTCCCCCAGGAAGCCTGAGGCTGTGTTTGATGGGCCATGGATACCTGGGGATAGGATGGAGTCCCTATTACTCCTAGGAAAAGGTTGAGGACTGAGCAGTCTTTGGGGCATCCACAGGGAAGATCCTGCAGAAGGACGAGGGTCTCAACGTGCTCCTCAACATCCCTGACTCAGCCAAGGTGGTGGCCTTTAAGCCTGAGCATCCTGGGCTGTGGTCCATCAAGGTAGGGGGCACTGAGTTGAGGGAGACATGCTTTACTGAGCTGGGGCACCATCTCCCTCCTTCCTGCTCTGGGGGGGTTGGGGCCCTGGGAAGCTGGGGCCTGGGGCCTGGGTGGGGATGTCTAGGGCATATCAATAGAAGTAAAAGGCCAAGAACAAAGGAGGAACATTCGGTTTTGCACCAGTGAGAAGAAGTCGCATGGAGTGGTTTGGGGTTAATGTGGGAACAGTTAAGGACTTGGAGAAACTGAAATGTCCAGAGGTGTGTGACCAAGCTGGCTTTTGACTCAAAACCATGTCCTGTAAAGAATGCACAAAAGAAGCAAGGGTGGCCTTGGAGGGATGACTCAGAGGGACAGCGCTGGCAAAGGGAGCAGGGTCTGATCTAATCTGCAAGGTACTGGAAGCCAGGCACCGGAGACAGGCTCAGCTTCGTGCGAGGAAGGCCTCTCTGGTTAAGCATCCTGGGATGGGGCAGGCGGCTGCCTTAGAAGGCAGTGAGCTCCTGTTGATTGGGAAAACATTTATTGAGCACCTCCTGGATGCCAGGCACCGTACGATGTGCTGCAGGTGAGGTGTCGGCATCAACCACCTGCCTTTCAAACCCTGAGCTTCTTTGAGCTAAGAGCTATAAATGCCGATGGGGAAGGCAAAGCAGGAGGTTAGACGTGTAGGGGACAGACGGAGCCTGTAGGAACTGGGGGAGAACTGCGAAGGCAGAGCAGCTTCAGAAGTCCTGCTCAGGATAGTGTTGTAGGCTGGGCTTCTTCCACTTTATTTGGGGAGAGCCATGCTGGGCCCCTAGGGAGCAGGTAAGTTGCCCACTTCTCTGCAAAGGCTGCACCCTGGGCATTTGGTCAGGTTGGCCGCCTCCTCCTGTAGGCCGGGGGTGCTGGGGTTGGATGCTCTGACGATGTGGGACTTGGGCCTGTGCTAGGTCTACAGCAGTGGCCGCCACTCCGTGAGGATCACGGGCATCAGCAGCATCGACTTCCGAGCCGGCTTCTCCACTCAACCCTCTCTGGACCTCAACCACACCATTGAGTGGCCCTTGCAAGGTACTGAGGTCCTGGCCCTGGAGGTGATGCTGAGTTGCCTTCTGAAAAGAGATGGGACTTGGCTTTGGGAAGTGGTAGAAGTTCAGGGTTGGGCTTGGCTGTCTGTCTGTGTGTGACTACGGACACAGCAGAGGCTAAAGTTGGGTCATTTTCCCATATCATAGTCATATAAACTGAGTTCCAGGGCCAGCGTCATGCCTGTCAGCCCCAGTCCATGTCACACTGTGATAATTTGTCCTTAGAACATCCTCTCTGCAACCAAAGGCCTCCAGGACCCCATGCTGTCCCCTGTCCCCCTTATTACTGAGTCCACACCTTACCCTTTCTTTTTCTTTTTAATTTCTTCCTTCTTTTTTTTTTATTCTGGATGTATATATATACACACACATGTATGTACGTATACATACATACATAGTATACATATATATGTAAACATTCGCCATTTCAACCATTTTTACATGTATAATTCAGTGATGTTAATTATGTTCACCATGGTATGCAACCATCACCACTATCCATTTCCAAAACTTTTCATCACCCTTAACAGAAACTCAGTTTCCCTTGAGCCATAACTCCCCTCCCCCTCACCTGCCCCTGGTGACCACTAATGAACTTTGACCTGTACTTCCCCTTTCTTTTTGTCAGAACTTGTCTGTCCAAAGTCCCACATTGTCAGTTTTCCAGTAAATACCAGGTTAACCAAACCAAACCCGTTGCTGTCGAGTTGATTCCGACTCACAGTAACCCTATAGGACAGAGTAGAACTGCCCCATAGGGTTTCTAATTCTAATTCTAATTCTGGTGAATTCAAACTGCTGACCCTTTGGTTAGCAGCCATAGCTCTTAACCACTACGCCATCAGGGCTCCTCCGAAAATACCAGATTAGTTGAATAAAATAATAGGTGCTAATGAGTTGATAGCTTGCCCTCAAAGGAGAACAATGCCTTACTACAAAGGAATGAATGGCCTGGTGGACGTCTAGATGCCCCAGAGGCTGCTGGGGGTTGGGGTAGCCTGGGAGGGTGTTGAAGTTGGAGGCACAGGGTCAGAGTTTCCTGGTTGAATCTGCCCACCTGGGTCTGAGGGTGTCTGAGCACCCCATTCCTGTTCCACCTGGAAAAGGCTGGGCCCCAGGGCAGGCAGGGGCTCTGACTCAGCCTGCATGAGCTCCACACCAGAAAATAGCATCTGATGGACAGATCAGGGGTCCCAACTTGGGGTTTGGAAAATATGGTCCTTCACCATGGGGCCATTCAGCGGAATTTGCTGGGACAGCTCAGAAGAGAGGCTGCGAGGGTCCAGAAAAAGGCCTGACTGATTCCGTGGACCACTAAATAGTGACAAGGGGCAATGCGTGCCGGACCCTTAGATCTTTCTTTCAAGTCTGTAATCTGTAATGTTTGTTGTTCTTGATGGCCCTCATAAGTTTCCCTGCCAGGGCCAGCAGTGACGTCTTTAAAGTGAAAAGGGGGTTGCTGGCTCATTTTATGTTTGTTTTGCCAATAGCAAGAAGGAGGAGAAACAGGGAAACTTAGGTCCTGCTCCAAAGCCAGTCTTGGAGAGAAAAGAAATTCTAAATGTAGCACTAGATTGGGGATAGAAAACTGAAATGTCCCCAGGGCCAGTCCCCAGTGGAAGTGGGTGCCGGGAGTCATGTGACCCTCTTTTGCATTTCTGCTTTTGATAGAGATGGTGGGTCGAAGACAGTTTTATAAGGAAAAGCAGCAGGACCATTCATTGCAATGATAAATAGTGATTGACACTTGACCTCTGTGTTGGAGGTATCAGGGAATAGAGGAGACTGTGGCTAATTGGACAGTGGACTCCCCGACCACAGGGAGCAGCCACCACACGCCAAGAGTGGATTGTGACCATGTGAGGATGGGGGCCCGAGATCGATGCATTTCATTTTTCAAAAGAATCTGGAAATCTAGATTTTCATGTGCACTTTCCAGATTGTTCAATATTTCTCCAGTAATTTTAAGACATCTCATGGACCAAACCAACCATATCCACAGGCCCCTGGTTTGTGATTTTTGTGAGAAAAAAAAATGAATAACTGTCTGAAAAGGGAAAGACCTGACCAAAGTTCCAAAGTCAACTAAGGAAATTATGACACTTGAGTCCAGTCCCATCTGCTCTGGGTTAGTGTGAAAAGTACCACATTTACATCAGGATAGAAAGGAAAATCAAACAGAAGCTGAGCCTGGGGAAAGATTGGGCAGGAGTCAGAGCCCCACTAACTGGGATGTGTACCTTATCGGAGGCCATTCCCAGAAGCCTGCCTGGTGATGGCCAACCCCAGAGCTAACGGGGGTGGTGGCGGAGAGAATGCCCCTTCCCAGCTCTACCCCATGAGAGATGGAGTCTGCGGAGATGAGGGAGTGAGAGCAACCATTTGGGAAGCGTGGCCTGGACAGTGGTGTTTCAGGACCATGGACAGCAACAAGGGCCCCTCTGTCCTTATCGTACCCCCAGCATTAGCTGGAACAAGGGTAGGTAGAGAAGGCAGGGGAGTGGGTGAAGTATGACCAAGAAGGTTGGGTCCCTCAAGTGTGGCCCTGAGGCCCTTGCTTGGGGAGGACCATGGAGCCCACTGCAGACGCCAGCACCTCTTTCCTCAACCTTTCGTCTGCAGGGGTGCCCATCTCCCTGGTGATCAACTCCACAGGCCTGCAGGCGCCTGGCCGCTTGGATTTGGTGGAGCTCTCGCACAGCTCAGGACAGCCCCTCCTGACTTTGCCCACGCAACCCCTTTCCAATGGATCCACCCATCAGCTGTGGGGTGGGCCACCCTTTCAAACTCCCAAGGAACGCTTCTACCTCAAGGTGAAGGGCGAGGACCATGAGGGGAACCCCCTCCTTCGTGTCTCCGGAGTTGCCTACAGTGGGGTGGCCCCAGGTGAGTGGTTGGTTCACTTATCCTCTAGCTCAGCTGCCTCCCTTGGAGGCCCATCTCTTCCTGGAAGACTTCCCTGATTAGATCAGATCAGCAAATGTTTGTTCATTAAGATTTTATGGGCAGCTATTCCTTGCAAAGCATTATGCTAAAATATTAGAGATGCTTCAGATGTGGTTCTCAGTTCAGGGACTTAGTACAGTCATCCATCCATCCATCTATAAATCCATCCATCCATGTATCCATCCACCAGTCCATCCAACATTCGTTTTGAGCATCTGCTATGTATCAGTCATGGTGTTAGGCACTTGGAGACACAACTGTGGGCAGGGAAGACATGAGTATTTGCTCTTCCATAATCATCATCATCATTATTCTTATTATCATGGTAATACTTATTCTAGCAACCATTGTTGAGCACTTCCTTGCCATGCACTAGCTTGTTGATTGCTTACAATAGTTCTGAGATGTGTACCCGTTTTATAGATCAGAAAACTGAAACCACCCCCACCTTGCATGGCTGCTCTGAGGGTTCCTTAAGCTAATGCACATAAAGAGACAGCACGCAGGTGCTCAGAGGCTGCACTCAGACTATGGGAGCTGTGGACCAGGGCCCTCCACATGTGGCAGCTGCCATGGCATTCTTCCTGCTCACTTCCCCTCTCCCTCTGGAAGTGGCCTGGGGAGGAGCTCACAGAAGTGGATGTTATTGACATTCTGGCATCTCTTTGCTGGGGATCTCCATGAAGGGAGATCCTTCGTCCACTTCAAAAAGGGATAGAGGCAGGGAAGATGCCCCTCTTCTCCTGGGCAGCTCTGGAGGCTGGCCAGGGTGCCCATAGTGGGGCAGGGGGCTTTCAGGACCTGAGTAGGGCAGGGCAGGGCTGGGTGAGGGAGATGGGATCCCTTCTTCTCAGCCTCCTGGCCTCCAGCCCCCTGCTGAGGTTCCTCCCTTGGTCTTTACAGCTTTCAGGAAGGAATTTCAAAGGGGGAATAACAGCCTCTGTTTTCTCTCCCCTGTTCTTTCAGACAGATCCAAGAGTTTGGAGCTCAGCTCTGGCTTTTTGGTCTCCATCTCAGCTCTAGATTAAAGAGGAGGGATGTGGTTTGGGCTTTTGCTCTCTCTCGGATCTTCCAGGTCTGGGAGGCTGGAAGCTTGGCTTAGAGCAGGAGGCTGTGAGTTTGGAGATATGGGGGCTGTGAGCTCTGGGCCTGGGGTAGGGATCCCTGAACGCTTTTGGCTCATGGATGTGGGGAGCCAGTGCTAGCTGTGCTGAGGCTGCCAGTGTGTAGGGGTCAGTGGGGGCTGCTTTGCACACAGCTGAGGACGTGGCTGGATGGTTCGACACCCCTCTCCCCTGGGATGTGGCAGGGAGCCTATAGCATGATGTCACCGCCTCCCTCCCGGCCCCCAGCTCTGTGCTCTGAGGAGATCTAGTGCATTGTCTCACCCTTAGAGCATCTCTGCTGGGGAGAAGGGAGAGGACAACATAAGAGGTTGACTGCAGGCCCAGGGGGTCACCACCCAGTGAGACTCTCTTGGGCTGCAGTTGACCCCATGGTGGAGTTTCTCAGACTTTTCCATTGAAGTAGTTCCAACAGCCAAGGAAAGGGAGTGTGTCATCCCAAGACCAAGGGTCAAGGGGGGGGGGGTAGTGGTGTCTGGTGGGGGCCCCAAGGGGCTGATTGTAACTGTGAGATTTCGCCGAAGTCTCATTTTATCTTAAAAATGCGTGTGAATTTTGCATTCACAGCCATATTTTGGCAATGGTTGTTTTTAACTAAAAAGGCTACCCTCCAACATCTTTGGATAAAGTGGACCCTCGGCAGAGCAGTTGCACAACCCCACCCATGTCGCTTCGGAGCCTGATCCCAGCCTGCATAGCATTTCAGCAGCTTTCAGAATGGCTGCAAATTCTCTGTCAAATACAATGGAGCAAATGGTGACCCACAGTCGGGAAGGGACTTGTCTAACCAGGCAATCTCAAGTTAAATAGTCTCACAAACCAGAAAGTACCATTAGCTTCAATTGATAACACTTTTGATGCATCGTGCATTGTGCCAAGTCCTTTCATGCACCATTTTCCACCAACTCCCACAGCAACAGAACGAGGTCAGTACTGTGATTACTCCCATTTCACAGAGGTAGAAACTGAGGCTTAGTGAGGTGAAACAATCTGTTCACGGTGGCCACCAGATGGTGGAGCCAGGGCTTGAGTCCTGGCCTTCTGGCCCCTGGTTCCTCCCTAGGGGTCTCTATGTACCTGGGTGTGGGGAAGGCAGGCTGTGGGCAGGAGGGAGGAACCCTGAGTCCTGGTCCTTGCTTGCAGGCTCCCCACTGGTCAGCATGCCCCCCACGATCCACGGCTACCTGCAGCAGCCCCTGCTGGTCTCCTGCTCTGTGCACAGCACCCTCCCCTTCAGGCTGCAGCTGTGGCGAGACGGAACCAAGCTGGGCGAGGAGAGGCACTTCCGGTGAGTGGGCGGTGGCCAACCCTGTGTCCCCACCACAAGGCTGCTGGGACCCTGGTGCCTTGGAGGGATCTGAGGGGAGTGGGTGACAGGAAAGGGACCTTAGTCTCAGTCATATTGTCCTCTTGGGCAGGGAGGGAGAGTGGGCCCAAGACCCATTACCCCATGAAAGAGCCATGGGCCTTCCTCAGCCTCCTGAAAACGTAACCCACACAGGGCCTGAGTGCTGTCAGGCTCTATGGGGGTCAGGGCGAGAAGGACCCTCCCAGACCTTCCCCTTTGGATGGAAGTCCACAGCTCAGATCGGGGACGGGACTTGCCCAGAGTCACACAGCAGATCATGGAATTTGCAAGGTCTTGGTTGCTGCCTCTTCTTATCAAGCCTCACAGAGGATTTGGGGTCTCCCCTCTGGGCAGGATTCAAGGGACCAAGGCCCCTGAGGGGCACATGAGACTTGGGGGGGGGGTGCCCTGACCGGGGTTAGTGTGACTGTGTGTCTCCTGCTGTTCTGTGTTCACAGGGAGTCAGGAAACAGCAGTTGGGAGATCCCGCGGGCCTCCAAGGCCGAGGAGGGGACATACGAGTGTACGGCGGTCAGCAGGGCTGGGACTGGACGAGCAAAGGCCCAGATTGTCGTCACAGGTCTGTCTTTTTGGGCCCCTCCAAATCCTCCCTCCCACCCCCTGGCTAGATTCTTCCCTCTAGGATTTCCTCCTGGGATGTCCCCATCCATGCGGTAGCGTGCCAGCCAGCCAGCTGCTGGGGACTGTTCACCATCCAGATTCTGGCCGCTTGTGCTGCCACCTGCCTGCAGGCCCTCTTTTGGGGTGTCTCCCCTGGGAATGGCCTGTGGGTCTCAGCTGGAGGAAGACTGAGAACCCTGGCTCAGGTCGTGCCTGCCCTGCCCAGCCTTAATCCCTTGACTTCTTAGTCTGGCCTTTGGGGCGTGGCTGATCCCAGGTACTTTTGGGGATCTCGCTGTCTCACATCCCTCGTCCCTTGTCACCTCCAGTTCCCCACCCAGCATGGCAGTATCGAGTCAGAGAAGGTTGGAAATGCCACAGACCATCTCAAAATGAAATTGGTTTTATATTATGAACTTCAGCTGTCTTGAAAAGAAAAGGAACCTAATGAACACGGAAAGATTAGCCACTCCACATTCTTTAATCTTAAAAGAAAAAAAGACACACGTTCCTTGTAGAAAAGTTGGAAAATATAAACAAGCAAAAAGAAGATCAAAATCACTTGTAACCCTTCCACTCTAAAGAGAACCTTGAGGGCATTTCCACTTAGTTCCTTCCAGACCTTTTCCTGCGTGTGCATTTTAACAAACATGGGATAATATTAGACTGGCTTACAACCTGCTTTTTATCACCCAACAATACAGCACGTCATCAAATTTACTTTTATGGCATGAATTAATAAAATTTTGCTTTTTATAAATTATGAGTATGGAGACGTAGAGAGAATAGCCTAAAGGAATGTATATGCCCATTGCTTAGATTTAACAACTGTTAAAATCTTGCCAGCGTCATTGTTGCTTCAGTGGTAAGATTCTCGACTTCCATGCGAGAGAGAGACCCGGGTTTAATTCCTGGCCAGCGCACCTCATGCTCAGCCACCACCCGCTCCTCAGGGGAGACCTGTGTGTCGTGATGCCAAACAGGTTTCAGCAGGGCTTCCAGAAGAAGACAGACTAGGAAGAAAGGCCTGGCGATTTACTTCTGAAAAGCTGTTTTGGTCCTGCTGGTTTTGAGGCCTCTGTCCCTGTGTTGGATAGTCTCTCTTATGGCTTTTTCCTATCAAGATAGCGGTTTGCTTAGCTCTCCCCTCATTTGGGGCAGTGATAGTATTTCTGAATTTTGGCTGTTATAAATAGCCCTGCTGTTTGCACAGAGAATAGCTTTGTACACAGTACGCTTCCACCCTTGCTGGTTATTTCCGAGGCTTTATTCCCCAGGGTAGAATTATCGGCTCAGGGGGTGTGAAGAGTGGTGGAGTGCTTGTTAAATATTGCTGCTGGCTTTAGTGTGGAAGGCACGCATATGCCATGCAGCTCTGGGAGGGTGTGGCAGCAGGGGTGGAAGGAGCCCTCCCTCGGGTGGCGCTGCTCCTGGGGATGGAGAGCAGATGCTGGCTAACCACACTGCTGGCCAATGTGTCCTCAGGGATGTGGTGTATGGTGCAGGCTGACCAGAGCCTTGGGGTTGGGGCTGGAGCTGGGCAGGGCCTGCAAGATGGCCATTCCCCTCTTGTCGGTGCCTCAGATACTCCTGTGCTCATATCCCTGCAGATCCCCCACCGCAGCTGGTCCCTGACCCCAACGTGACCGTGTCCCCAGGGGAGAATGCCATCCTGTCCTGCCAGGTCCTGGGTGAGGCCCCCTACAACCTGACTTGGATTCGGGACTGGCGAGTCCTGCCGGCCTCCGTGGGCCGAGTCACTCAGCTGGCCAACCTGTCCCTGGAGGTCAGCGGCGTCATCCCTAGTGACGGCGGGCGGTACCAGTGTGTGGCCAGCAATGCCAATGGGGTCACAAGGGCGTCCGTCTGGCTCCTGGTGCGAGGTGAGTCTCTTCTTGCCACTTCTGTCTCTACAATTCAGTACACTACCTAGCATTTACCTCGGGAGGCATCAGTCTATCCCTCTGCCTCACACATCATCTCTGACAGGGAACGTCAGCCCTTCCTGTGTTTTCTGCATCTTTAGGGAAAGAGGATCCTGTAACCTCTTGTGACTACCTGTGCAAAGCCTAGTGGTCCTCACTGTTGGGAAGTTCATCCTAATATCTAACTTGAGTTTCTACTGCTATAGGCCAGACCAATTTCATCTTGTCCTGTCCTTTTCTCCTGCTATTGAGTACCTCTATTGTCGCTCTCCTCGTCCCTCTTCTCAAGGTGTAGGGCAGGTATCGGGATACTGGAAACTTGTGAAAGCCCAGAGGTCAGATGTGCTTGGCAGGGTTGGACAGCAGCAACCAGATGGGGGTGGAGGAGGCAGTGGAAAGAGCACTGGTCTGGGAGTTATGAGACTTAGGTTGTGGCCTCAGCTCTACCCAGGATTTAGGCAGATCCTCCATCTTAGGGCACTGTTTCCCCTAGTGTAAAAATAAGGGTGTTGGAACAAGCTTTCTCTCCCATGCAAGCTACTTTTGCTTGGCAGTGGCTATCTTGGATGTGTTGAGAAGATTGAGGCCATAGCCAGGAAGGAGATCTATTAGCTGTGTGTGCCATGGGTGTGGGAGGGCTGTGCTTGCTATTTCTAGATGAGATGGCCAAGAAGTCTGTTGGAGCCTGACAAGTCTGTTGTACTGTGAGCTTCAGAGAGCCAAGATAGAGCATAAGTTTGGGGCCAGTTCTGGGACAGCCTTTGTGGTTCACCAAAAAGGTCCCTGGGGACCAGAGCCATCCCAGCCCTGGCAGCTGCCTGACATCTCCTTAAGTCTCTCCAAGCAGGACTTCAGGGAGCCTGTGGCTTCCAGACTGGGGGATGCTGGGAAATCCACTCTCCATGTGACTCAGGGGTTCCTCTGGGTGGCCGCCTGGTCCACCCATTCCCAGGGAAGCCACTCCCAGGGGTTCAGGCCCTTTGGGCCTTTGCTTCTTTTCTCTCACGCATCTATGACTACAGGGAACGGGGAGGGGGCTGAGCCCTGGTGACTGGGATGGCATGGCTGCTCTGACAGGCTCTTCCTTGCCTGCCCCCTCTTTGGGCTCCAGAGGCCCCGCAGGTCAGCATCCACACCAGGTCCCAGCACTTCTCCCAGGGTGCAGAGGTGAGGGTCAGCTGCTCAGCTTCTGGGTACCCTGCACCCCACATCTCCTGGAGTCGAGAAGGCCGCACCTTGCAACAGGACAGCAGGTGAGGGGCCCAGGACGCAGGGCTCCAGGACTGGGAGCAGGTGGATAAGGATCCCAGAGCACTTGTGCCGTGTGGCCTCTGTGGGCCTTGGTCTTCTTGCCCGTACATGGAGGCGGGGAGTGGGGGTGGGGTGCGGGGGGGTTACATTTGCCCTGCCTTCCCCCTGGGATCATTTGAGCCTCAGGAACATCAAGGGGCAGCAGTTTGGGCACAGCGGTCAGGAGCACAGGCTCTGGAGTCTGACAGATGTGCATGGTTGACCATGCAAGCTGGTGACCTCGAGCAAGTCCTGTCACCTCTCTGAGCCTCGTGAATTAAATGAGACAATGCACGTAAAGTGCCCAGCACACAGCTGGGTACAGAGCAGACTGGCAGTCAGTGGAGAATGTGGTCGCTAAGGATGCTGTGAATTAATTTGTTATTCGTGGTGGCCATAGAGCAACCCCTTGACCTAACCAGCCTGCCCTAACCAGCCCCTGCTATGGGACATGTTGTTTTTATGGCCTGACTCCAGAGTCCTTGTGGATGCCCAGGGAACGCTGATCATTCAGGGAGTAGCCCCAGAGGATGCTGGGAATTACAGCTGCCAGGCTGCTAATGAGGTTGGCACAGACAAGAAGACGGTCACTCTGTACTATACAGGTACTAGGACCATGAGCATAGCAGGAGAGGGCCCCTCCTCTTTCCCTCCCTCTGTCCCTCCTGCCCTCCTGCCCTCCCCCAAATCTTTATTGAGCATCTTCTCTGTGCCAGGCTCTGAGGTACAGCAGTGAACACATGGCCTTTTTCCAGGTGGAGCTTATGTTTAACAGGGAGGCAGAAAACAAACATGCAAATAGATAACTCAGTAAGATACTTTCTGATGGTGAAGGTCCTTTGAAGAAAATAGAGTGGGGTGATGTGCTGGAGTGATGGGAGGGTGAGGGTGAGAGGGAAGTGGCTCGGAGGAGGTGACCCTGGCCAGAGCTGTGGACAGGAACAGCATTCCAGGCAGAGGGACTGGCAGGGCACAGGTCCTGAGGTGGGAACGGACCTGGTGTTCTCAAGGGGCTTCAAGGATGCTGGGATGGAGTGAGTGGAGGTGGGGTGGGAGAGAAGGGGAGAGAGAGGGGGATGGAGTGGGACCTTATAGGATTTTGGCTTTTATTCCAGGTTAAATGAGGAGCAGTAGGGGGTTTTGGGAGGTTTTGGTCAAGGGAGTGATTGACTTTAATTTAAGGTCGAAAGTGGGTAGGAAGCTTCTAAAAAACTGGCTATAGGCAGATCTTTCTGGGGTGACTGTCCCTGATGGGTGGGGGTGGGGAAGAGGCAGGGCCCTGGAGCTTTGCCTCTGTCCCCTCAGGCCTGATCCCAAATTCACCATATCCCCCTCCCCCCCACAGACCCACCTTCAATCTCTGCCGTCAATGCCGTGGTGCTTGCTGAGGTCGGGAAGGAGGCCGTGCTGGTGTGTAAGGCATCCGGGGTCCCTCCGCCCCGGGTCATCTGGTATCGAGGTAGGCTGGGTGGGGAGGGGGGCCTGAGGAATTATCCACTGGGGCTCTGGAAAATCAGCTTCTCAGAAAGGTCATTCGGGAGCAATGGGAATGGGGTGTCTGGAAGGGCTGGCCGGTTCCAGCAGCCCCCCACCCTCGCTGCCAGCCCAGTCTCGACACAGCTATACAGGGTCCTTTTCTCATGGAGTCATAGGAGCCCCCAGAGTCAGCAGGGCTTGAGCAGCCTAACACCTTGGCCTCCTGTGGTGCCCTCCCACTTGTCCCAATGCTTTCTTATCTTTGTTCCAGGAGGTCTTGAAATGATTCTGGCCCCGGAGGGCTTCAGCTCTGGGACCCTGCGAATCCCGGCAGCTCAGGAGAGGGATGCTGGCGTCTACACCTGTCGAGCCATCAATGAGCTGGGTGATGCCTCTGCGGAAATCCGGCTGGAGGTTGGACGTGAGTATATACCTTGTCCCTACCTTCTCCATTTTTGCACCCCCTCCAGCCCTGGGCCCAGCCTCTGAGAAGGAAAAAGAGAATTCCCCAGAGTAGACTGCCAACATGGAATTGCATCATGTGAATCCAGAGCATGTGGGTACAAGGGATAATTAGAAAGGCAACAGTGTATGAGTTATCTCTTGCTGTGTAACAAATTGCCCCAAAACTCTGTGGCTTAAACAGCACATATTTATTATCTCATGGTTTCTGAGGGCTAGGAATCAGGGCATGGCTTCGCTGGATGGCTCCGGCTCAGGGTCTCTCACGAGATCGCCATCAATAGGTTGGTAGGGGCTGCAGTCATCTGAAGGCTTGACTTGGGCTGGAGGATCCACGCCAAGCTGACTCACATGGTTGTGGGCAGGACGCTTCAGTTCCTTGCCATGTGGGCCTCTCCATAAGGCTGCTCACAACATGGCTTCCCATAGAGCAAGCGACGAGAGAGAAAGAGAGAGAACCCAAGATGGAAGCCACAGTCTTTTACAACCAACAACAGTCTTGGAAGTGACATACCACCACTTTTCCCTTATTCTGTTGGTAACACAGACCAACCCTGGTACAAGGGAGGGACTACTGAAGGGTGTGAATACCAGGAGGTGGGAATCTTTGGGTTCACCTTAGAAGCTGCCTACCACAGAGACAGTTTGGTTCAAGCTTGGGCATTGACCTCCTGAAACAAGAGTTTTAGTCTTGGCTCCATCACTTACCATCTACCTGCTTTGGTCAAGTAATTGAACCTCAGTTTCCCCATCAGTAAAATGGGGCTGACCGTATGCCCTCCCTCACTGGGTTGCTGTGAGGGTTAAATGAGCAGGGCGTATAATGCTAAGCACAGGGTCTGGCCCACAGTGAGGACTTAATAAATGAAGGGATTTATTGTCCCCTTTTTGCGGATGGGGAGCTTGGATTTTTCTGTGGCCAGTACATGGCCTTATCTGTGATTTCTGTGATGTCTAAGTGCCAGGCCTGGATTCCAGGCACTGGGGATTGCTCGGAAGCCGTGGGCACAGCTCCTTGGCATGCTGAGCTGGGGCGGATTGGGCTCTGAGGGTTCGCTGTAGCCACGGCAGGAGAGACAGGTGCTGGAAGTTGGGGAAGCGCAGAGAATTGAGAATGTGCTCATCCGGGCGGGGTGGCCAGGCAGGGCCGGGGTTGGGGTGTGGTCAAAGGGCTCCGCAAGAAGAACAGGGCCCAGGCCTGTCTCCCAAGCACTTGGCTGGGGCTTTGAGTCCGCCCAGTTAGAAGGGTCTGGCTCCTGGCAGAAACAGTGCCATCTAAGGGTTGAGGTCCTCCCAGGCTTGGGGGTCCTTCGCCTTCATTCCTTCATCCATTCCATCACTTACTTTTCCAGTACGTGGCCACTAGGTGCCCGTGTGCCAGGCCCTGTATTGCGTGTAAACGACAGGCGAGTCACGCTTCTGCTTGCCTGTTGCTCATGGAGTTGAAGACAGAAGAGAAAACAGGCAACTAGAACCCAGTGTGCCGAGCGTGTGGAAGCGGCATTCTCGGGGTCTGTAGGGACCCAGAGAAGGGGGCTAACCCCACAGCGGGAACTGGAAAGGCTTCTTGGAGGAGGTGATGTCTAAGCTGAGGCCAGAGGAATCAGCCAGGTGAAGAGCTGGGAAACAGTATTCCAGGCAAAGAGAACAACATGTGCAAATCTCCCAATGGCACAGGAAGTGAGGCAGGGAGTGAGATACAGAGGGGCGGGGGAGAGGTGAGGCCCTGGCTGCTATGGATCATTCTGGGCCTCAAGAACTGGGCGTAGGAGTTTGGGCTTTGTCCTTCGAATGGTGTTGGGAGGTTTTATGGAGGGATGTGCTCAGACTTTCCCTATAGAGAGCGGCTATGTGGCTGGACTCTTGGGTGGGGCAGGCTGGATGTGGGAAGCTGTGAGCTTGGGAGCCTGATACTAACAATAATAAAAATATTAGCTATTTACCATGTTCCAGCTCTAAGAATGTTTCATGTACTAACTTATTTAATCCTCCCAAAACAACGCTTTGAGATCCATGCTATCATTTATCCTCTTAATAGATAGGGAAAATGAGGCACAGAGAGGTTAAGTGACTTGCCCAAAGTCACACAGCTGTCAAGTGGCAGAGCTGGAATCTGAACCCCAGAGTCTGTGCCATTAATCTCTGCACACTGTGGCTTCTAAGGATGGAGCTGGACTTGCTCCTGCTGCCCACCAGCCGGGTGAGCTTGAGAGGAGGTCACTTCCCCTCTCGGAGCCTCAGGCTCCTCATCTGTAAAATGGTCTTAGAGATGCTGTGTGAGTGAGAGATAAGAAATGCCTGGGCCACAGTGGTCTGATAAATGCTGCTGTCACTGTTATTAGCCAGCAGGTTCTGGATGAGCAGTGAGGTGAGGGTGCTCTGGGGGCGGTGGGCTCGCACTTGACATTGCTATGAGCAGGCATCCCTTCTTGCTCCCCGTCTGACTTCTTCTCAGCAAATCTGGTGTCTTTGGGTCCCAGACTGACATGCCTGCCTGGTCCTGTTCTTTCACCTCTGCCCTTGGCCTTGGGGTCATTTCCCCATGTCAGAGGAAGGAGGTGCCTGGCACCCCAAAGCAGAGCTTCTGGGCCACTGGGCCACTGGCAGCCTCTGGCCTTAGGTCAGGGAAGGGCTGGAGAATGGCCCAGCACCTGTGGGGCTGGGGCGAGCCAGCCTGGCAATGGCAGTGGGAAATTGAATTTCCTGCCCATCTGGGTGGCAGCTGTGGTCCAGCCTTCCTGGCCAGGCTAGCAGAGCCTTCCGGGACAGGGAACGAGCGGGAGCTGTGCCTACTTTCTGCTGTTGAGCTGGGAACTGGCTTCCTGGAGGCATTTTGGGCCCAGGAAGGAGGGCAGCCTCCTCCTGCACTGACACTGAGTGCCTGTGTTTGTGGGCCAGCCTGCAGAGCACTTTTTAAATTTTTTTTATTGTTGTAGTTTAAAGAAGTTTACATTTCAAGTTAGTCTCCCATACAAAAATTTATACATACATTGTTATGTGACCGTAATTGCTCTCCCCATACTGTGACAGCACACTCCTCCTTTCCACCCCTGATTCCCTGTGTCCATTCAACCAGCTCCTAACCCTCTCTGCCTTCCCATCTCACCTCCGGACAGGAGCTGTATCTACTTGAACTAAGAAGCACACTCTTCACGAGTATCATTTTATGTCCCATAGTCCAGTCTAATCTTTGTCTGAAGAGTTGGCCTTGGGAATGGTTTTAGTTCTGGGCTGATAGAGAATCCAGGGGCCATGCTTTCCGGGGTTCCTCCAGTCTCAGTCAGACCATTAAGTTTGGTCTTTTACTAGAATTTGAGTTCTGCACCCTACGTTTCTCCTGCTCCATCCAGGACTCTCTGTTGTGTTCCCTGTCAGGGTGGTCATTGGTGGTAGCTGGACACCATCTAGTTCTTCTGATTTCAGGCTGATGAAGCCTCTGGTTTATGTGGCCTTTCTGTCTCATGGGCTAATACTTTCCTTGTGTCTTTGGTGTTCTTCATTCTCCTTTACTCCAGGTGGTTGGGACCAATTGATGCATCTTAGATGGCCCCTTGCAAGCTTTTAAGATCCCAGACGCCACTCACCAAAGTAGGATGCAGAACGTTTTCTTAATAAGCTTGCAAAGCACTTTTACAGCATCTTCTGGGCCTGGCTTTTGGCAATGAAGAGTCCTAGGTCAGTGTCTGGGTCCTGCTGCTAATTTGGCCAAGTTATTTACTTCTCTGAGCCTCACTTTCCCCTTCTGTGAAATGGGGATAATAATAGAGCCTTGCTCATAGGGTTCTTGAGAGATTTAATAAGATAATATGCTTAGCTCAGGGTTTGCATGGAATGAATAATCAATATACTTAAGCACACTTCCCCCAGCCCCTACCTCCTGTGCTATGGCCTGGGCTGGGCTGACAGCGGTTTGGTGAGGGGGTAATTAGCCCATGGCTGGTGACCAGGGCTCTGCCACAGGCACCTGCTCCCTGAGTTAGTGCTCTTTCGATTACTTAAAAAAACTGCCCTGAGCTAAGATGTCTGTGCTCTCTAAATGTTCACCCCTCTCTCTTTCTATCCTTTCATTTAAGTCCCTGCTTCTTATTCCCTTACTCCAGAGGACCCTATTTTCTGGGTGGATGAGCAGGGGAGCAGGGTGCATGCTTTTGAGTGTGCTAAGGACCCCCTGGCCAGCCTGGGGGAGCAGGCGAGAAGCAGGGCCAGGCTGTGAGAGGTGTGGCCAGCATCGGGGCCTCCTCCAGCAGATGCAGCAGGTGGCTGGGGGCCTGCGAGATCTTTTAGGGGCCCATGGAAATGTTCTAATTTTAACTTCTTCTTTTTTTTTATTGTACTTCAGGTGAAGGCTTACAGAACAAATAGTTGCTCATGGAACAGTAGTACACATATTGTTTTATGATGTTGGTTAACAACCCCACAACATGTCAACCCTCTCCCTTCTCGACCTTTTTTTTTTTTTGGTGAAAGTATACACAGCCAAAGATACACCATTTCAAAACTTTCTACATGCACAGTTCAGTGACATCGACTACACTCTTCCAGTTGTGCTG